GCAAGGCATTGATTGATTTTTGTGGCGCGGCGAAATGGTGAAGTGTTCTGAAAGCACCCAAGTGCAAGAAATCATTCGCACGCATGCATGCAGATTTTTTGGTTTAAACATCCTCAGCCTGCGTGTTGTTTCTGGTTTCGCACTTATTCTCTAGGGCGTATTGTTTCAGACGGTAAAGAGAATATAAATTAGGATTTGGGGTTCAGGGTTTAGGTTTTAACAGTCAGGGTTTCAGGCTTGCATTCGCTTCTAAGCGGGGTGGCTGCGGGTAGATTGCTGGTAGCAGCTGATGTCATCAGCAAATTTCCTTGATGCGGTTCGTCTGCTGACGTCTGCACTGCCGTTTTCTCTGCGCATGGAGACCAGAAGACGCGTGGCAACGAACTCGACTGTATCTGCAACGGTGAAAAGGCAACAGCAGAGGAAAAGCAACAGGACAGTGAACAGATGCACAGCAACATACCAGTGAAAAGGCTGAACACTGCAGCAATTGCTGCGCTACCGCTGGTGTGGGTGGTGCTAGTGTCACTGCTGCTGGTTTTGCTGCTGCTTCTGTGCTCCAGCAACAATATCAGTTTCCCGTCAGTTGTCTGGTCATATAAGCAGTTATTATGTGACGAAGGCGGCAACTCAAGAACGTAGAGAGGCACTGCTCTACGCTGGCAGTCATGGTGCTCTAGTTGTTTAGTTTCTTTGTTACAGATTGGTAGACTCCAAGGGGATGAATAATGCACACCTTCGTCCGGTTTCTCGACGGCCATGTTGACTGTCCTGTTGGTTTTTTGTTTTCGTTTTTCGCCTTTGTTCAATTGCTCTTCGATATCTTTGAAATCCATGATAAAGGAACGAATGGCAGCCAATAATTCCACCGCATAACGGCATCGCCGCTGCATTTGAGAACCCTCTGTCTGCTCTTGTTGTTCTTCTTTCTTTTTCTGATTGTTCGCTCCCTCAGTGGTGGGTTTTTCCTGCTGTGCCTCGCCGTCCGTCTCAGCCGCAGCCTCCCGCCTGCAAAACGCCCTACCGTTCGCGGCTTGAGGGCCCATCATAGTCTGGAGGCGGATTCCTTGGCAACCTTTCTTGGTACCTAGTTGACTCGGTAAGTAGAGAGCTGGGTAGATAGGTGGGCAGCTGTGCGAGTGCTCATCAAGCTCGCTACTTCTTAAATGAGCTTTTGCAATGCAGGCGCTCGAAGCACGCGATTCGGGTTCTGTAAGTGGTTTCCAGTGCTTACCTCTGCCTCTCCCAGGCCGCACGGCCGTGCTGGATGTTGGGCCTAGCGGTAATGCACATAGCATACATGTTTTCAACTGCAAGTAGAACCTTTCCGAGGTGCAGTGACTTGCTAAAGGAGTCTCTGTCTGCTTCGTCCGCTTTGGCTGTTAGAGCCGCTGTTTCCTTTTCAAGCGCTTCCAGCTCCCGCTGATACTCCGCCACTTTGTTGTTCGCCTCCTGAGAGAATGCCCCCACACCCTTAATTGGACTGTTGGGGAAAGGACAGGAGGTCGACTCAGCGAGTTGACAGTACGACAGCAAGAAATTTACTCGTCTTCTTGCGTTGTGGGCTGAACTAGTACTCCATACAAACAGTTGTACTCAGCCAGGTTAGAGGAAGGGATGAACTCAAGGCTGTTCACGGAGGACAGCAACATACAAGGATCTTGGCTGCTTGGCTCCTTTTGTATTCTTGCAACTGCTGGCGCAGCGCGTCCATCTTCCGAGTTGTCCTTTCCTCGTTCTGACGGAGGCTGGAGTGAACGGAAGCCAACACTTCAAACCGCTCAATGATGTCCCGCACGCTCGTGAACTCCGGACTTGTTTCCGAGGCGGCTTGCAGGTAATCTGCAAACTTCTGTACTGGCAAACACACACAAAAAGGCAGCAAACGTCTTCAACCTCCTGCGCGTTCTATCGGCAAGGAGAAAGAAGAGAGCAAAAGAAAATTGCCGCCAGTATCGCCTTCACAACTACTCGCAAGCCAGAAACTGAATCGCTCTGTCTTAAGCGCTTCCGCTCTGCCTCCTTACGGCTACAAATACCTCATCTAGACCCCGTCAAACGTGAATTGTAAGGATTTGATTCATTTGGCTGCAGTGCTTCATCGGTTCCTACAAGTCTAAAGCCAATCGCGCGTCTCAAAATCTCGCTAGGCTGTTTCTGCCAGATAGTTAAATTATGCTTTCTTATGCTCCGATTTCAGCATGAAGCCCGCGATGGGGTATTCGTCTAAACAATAAACCTTAAGCCCTAAACCCCTGTGAGGGGACAGGAGAGCTTACAGTCGTGTACTTGCATTTCGAATCCTTTGCACTTGACTTCATCTACTGCCAGCTGCCGCTTCAGCACGGCGATTTCTTTATCACGAGCGTGACTTGTTTCCCTCTCTGCCGAGGCCCTTTTGTTAGCGTGCGTTGTTTTTTCTTCGTTGGTGTATACAAACTTTTGAAACCGCTGGAGCTGCGACTTGAGCTGCGCCTGCCGTTTCTGCAGTTCTGCATCTTGCTGCTTCGCCTTCTCCACAACCTTAACGAATCGAAACGCAACAATAGCACGCCTTGAAACAAGTACATCTCTGTTTTCTCCTCTCACCTCCAATACTTGCCTGTTCACTCATTTACGTGTTTGATGTACGAAACAGAAAAAGAAACGGATGCCCACGAAATGCCTCACCTGCGCATAGGAGACCTTCTTGAAATCCAACTCCGTCGTGACTTCGTGTAGCTGACGCTGCAAATCCTGACAAAACCGGAGTACACAAAAAGAGGGAACGCAGCATCAACTAAAAAGGTGCCCGCTGGTTTCATGAATACATGGGAGGGTGGAAACCTTTGGAGTCATTGTTCATGAGGGGGAAACAGAGGCACATAGGTAAATTAAAGAAATATGGCCCAAGACGTCACTCTTTGCCTCTTCTACGACCTTTTGTGAAGGGCAAGAATGAGGTTTGGTACCGAATCGCAAGCAAAAAAACGCACACTTAATCAATGCATATATATCAACCTTGAAGCTATA